TTTATTAGTGTGTTCCTGCCTGTCTTAATCATTTCATTTGTAATTTTATCAATACCCGGGGCTTTGCCATTTTTTAACTTGTTAATTGCATTGTGAATTTCAAGCTGTGAAATAGGATTATCCAGAATATCTATATGGAAACTGTTACCTTGATTTTTTTCATTATCCATGGTTACATTGATAATTGACATTTGAACTGTAGGCATCAATCAGCGATTCTGCCGGTGATGGAGGGATAGAATCTAGGTCAGGGGAAGCCCTGTGACCGAAAGATTCTCTTTCCCTTACGTCACGAACTACGTGACCGAGGCCATATGGCAGCGCCATAGATGGCTGTACAAATCACTCTGGTTCCTTTCTCTCCGCATCGAGGACCAATGCTACGGAAAAAGTGGGGTGGTTGGGGGGACCCAGAGTCTATGAACTATGTGAATAGGCGGGTTAAGAGAACCCTCGCCTAAATTCACTACGTTCAATTACCCACCATAGACTCCGGTCAGTCAAAATGACTATTTTGAACTGTAGGCAGAGTCAGACGCCGATAGGTAGCGGGTTTTCTGAGCAAACAGAAAAGTGATGAAAAGTCTTTTCCCAGTCCGGAATGAAACACTCTACAAAAATCACTCAACACCCTAGTTAAGACCCAAAAATAGGTGGTGTCTTACCTTGCCTGTGCTGTCCCCAGAGCAAGAAGTCAAAATGCTGCTACGGTGACAGGGTTCGGTGTGCCCGAGAAAGCCAGACCCCAACCCAATTCTGTGGGGTAGTAAGCTTTGGAAGTAAAGACTGAAACAGTTCTGCATGAAGTCATAGGCAGCAAAGTGGGACCTGGGAGCTTCCAGGGGAGTGCTGATGGTAGAGAAATCTGTCTGCATAAAATGCCGGACTGACTTATTGCCTATGCGCAGGTACCCTAGCGGTCGTTCAGGCTGGGTCAGCAAACCAAGACTGACCCGCTACAACGGGACCCAGCCTAGAGAGACCCTTTTCAATGGATTCGGTGTCTCTTAGGTGGTAGTTGATAAAGACGTTCTGCGTTCTCCAGAAGCCTGCCCTCCATGTGTGCTCGAGGGGGGCGCCTGACGCTAGCACTAGCGAGTTAGCAATCGCACAGACCTCATGCGCTCGTACTTGGTGTCTCTGCAAGCTCTGTGTTGAGGAAGTACAGTCGCAGTAAACCACCTGGTAATGGAAGTTGGGGAGGCCGGCTTATCCTGCCTGCCTGGGCCATAACACAAAGATATGTGCCTGGCACCCCGTTCCAAATCCTTAGTACGGTTTGGTGGCAATTCTGTGCTCAAACCGGGTAGAGAAGCAATTCCTCCAGACCCTCCGGGCAGACAAAATTTGACAGCCGGGGGGGTGACGATCGGGTGTGGATCGTGTCCTCGGATTTGGTTCTAGGCGAGAAACCCGATTTGTGTCTTTAGCACAACTTGATTGGCCATAACGGCGGTACATCATCTGCGAAGGACAATGCCCCCAGCTCTGGCTGACGCCTACCTGAGGCGAGGGCCAGTAGGAAGACTATTTTCCACATCAAAAATTTGAGTGGTGCTGATCGGAGCGGCTCAAAGGGCGGTCTGCTTAGAGCAGACAACACAACCGACAAGTCCCAGTTGGCCGGCTCCCTTGTATGGGGTCTTGGAGTCTGAAAAACAGTAAATAGTCTCCTAATAATAGGACAATCGGCTAGTCTTGTTCCCGTACATTTTGAGTGGTGGGGGGCAAGGCCGACCTGTAGCCAATGATCGCTGCGTATGACAAACCCACTTCGTCAAAAAAGTACTACCTGGCCAATAGAGGGATGGTATGGATCAATCTCCCTTCCGCTACACCAATCGGTGTATGCTCGCAGCCTAGAAATGTAGGCCGCGTTGGTGGAATCCCTGTTCGCCCTGGCCAGAATGTTGGCAGCCCGCTCAGATAAGGCTTTCGTATGTGCAGGTCTACTGAGAGCCTCTATGCGTGTAAGTGATACCTGCTGGGCTCGTTGGTAGTGCGCCGTCTGGTTGGGACGGCAGGTCCGGTAAGTCCGGAAGCACTGCTGGTGTTTCGACTAGCATTTCCAACAGAAGTGGAAACTAGGCCTTGCTTGGCCAATTGGGTGTGACCAATGATAATATGCAGGTGTGCACCTGACGAAGTTTTCTCCAGTGCCCGGTGAACTAGCGGGTTTTCTGTGCTTGGGGTGCCCTCCGCTTGCCCTAGGCAGGGCCAACTGGCTAGCGGATTCGATCTGAACCCTCTGGTTCATTGCACTCCGAAGCTCCGAGACTGTACCCACCATTCCCTGGACAAAGAGGGTGGAGAATGTCCAGTCTGCGTCACTGAGGTGGGGACGTACCCCTACTCAGCTTGTCGGCGAAAACATGTGCGTCTAAGGCCGTGCCTCGTAGCACAGTAGTGGCCCCGGCCAAGTGAGCCAGGTGACACTAGGGGGTGTCGCACGTAGATGTGCGGTGGCCCACCAGTAAAAATGTCGCCCAGTCTAGGAGGCTGGTGCGTTCTGCCTCCAAGGTCTCCAGAGTCCTGGGTGCGCACAAGAATGCGCTCAAGCAACTCTGCCCTCAGGGCTGGATGGGTTGTCTTCAATTGGTAAGAACGCCTATGGAACACGGCTGTCCCCCTTTGCCTGGTTTGCCAAATTCGTGGTACCGGGGTCTGGGGAAGGAGCCTTGGGATCCGGTTGGGAGCGTTTTGGTCTTATCCCCCACTATGGGGTCTGATCCCGAATCCCGACGCTCGTGGAGACAGAGACAGCTCGCTCAGACTGCGTCTGATCTACCCGGCCTGCCAGGGAAGCAATTGCCCTGACAGTCCCTCGACCAAAGCCCTCAACTCGGAAGCAAACCCGGCGCCGTGCAAGGAAGGGTCCACAAGGGGACCTGCAACAGGCCCCACAGGAAGAAAGCATCCAGGGGCACAGCCTCGCTGCAGCCGGTAAAATCAGGTAAACCACCGCCTGAAAAAACAGACTGAGGATGCCCTCCGATCAGCAGGGGGAGGCTGAGAAAAATATCGGTACCTCCACCAACGGGCCTCCTACTCGACGTCCCGGTACAACCGGTAGATTTTGATGGCTCTGAAAGAAAATCTCAGGCCTCAGAAAAACACACACCTTCACGCAAAAACCTCGAATTTTGTCGTATCTCAGATGCGGGTTCTATGCTGGTAAATTCTGAATATAACCACTGCACAGTCGACTCGAAACGCGAGGAGACCAAAAGGAAAAACGGCAGCGAGCCCTGGTGCTGTCATTACATCCATACATTGCTAAATACATTGCAAATAAAAGATGACATGCATGAGGGAAATCAAAGAAAGCTTAGAAAGAACTCCCGTGTCTGTGCAGTGTCCTATGATATCTATGTACCAAATTGCATTGAAATGTGATGATTACTATCTGAAATACCAAAAGCCGAAAATTAATTAATTATGCAAATTAGGTAATTAATATGTACTCATATTACCCTAAAAACTATCAGGTCTGTGCAGTGTCCTATGACATCTATGTACCAAGTGTCATTGAAATGTGAAAATTACTACTTGAAATATCAAAAGCGGAAAATTAAATAATTATGTAAATTAGGTAATTAATATCCACTGATATTACCTTAAAAACTATCAGGTCTGTGCAGTGTCCTATGATATCTATGTACCAAGTTTTATTGAAATGTGATGATTACTACTTGAAATATCAAAAGCTGAAAATTAATTAATTATGCAAATTAGGTAATTAATATGTACTGATATTACCCTAAAAACTATCAGGTTTGTGCAGTATCCTATGACATCTATGTACCAAGTTTTATTGAAATGTGATGATTAGTACTTGAGACATCAGTGGAAAAGCCGAAAATTGATTAATCATTATGCAAATTAGGTAATTAATATTGCACAGATTTTTACCCAAAACTAATCAAATCTGCGCATTAGTTTGGAGCATCTGTGTGCCAAGTTTCATCAAAATAGAATGAGTGGTTCTTTAGATATCAGTGGAACAGTCATGGAACAGCTAAAAATCT